AGTATTGATTTTAGAATAATTGGTTGCTTTTGACTTATCTACGGGAAGTGATAATAAAAATGTGAGGTTGACCTCACAAAGATCTTTTAAAATGATACAAATTAGCTCAAAGAAATACAGGTTTATCTATAAGAATAAAGTTACAGGGGTTGTATCAAATAAAAGCAACACCCAGTATATATTATAAACATTATGACTGAAAATTAAAAATGGTTAACACTGACGTTCTTTTATTGGCAGTACTGTCAGTTTCCCTTATAATAGACCAACAGTAACACATTTTCGTCCCAAAAACCTTTATACTTTCATTTTAAGCATATTTGAACAGGTCTTCCCGCTTTAGGTAGGGGAACGAGGGGCTTGTTGTAACAGTTTTTAGGAAAACGAATATAATTTGGTATCTATTAGCTGTTTGACCATTATAAAAGTATCTATCGGTAGTCTAACTATTCCCCTATTGGACTGAACAGGCAAAAGGTCAAAATTTTTCATCTTCACTTCACACCAGGCATTTTCTTAAAAAAAGTGCAGTGTTACAACTTGCGCCGTGGTTGGGGCTAGTTGTAACAGCCATGAGACAGGTAGTACCAGTAAAAATAAAGCTGATGTTGATACATATTTAGACTTTATTTTTCAAAAATCAACACAACACTTCATTATATACAATTTTTTTTCAGTAAAACTGAACTAAACTTTTAGAAGAAGAGTCAACATTAAAGATTTGAGTTTTGTCTTCCTTTTTCTTAATATATCTGGAAAGCAATATATGGCATAGGTCAAAATTTTGGCTCGCTTTTCGTATGCTAGGTAAGAAATTTGTAGAAGTGAATTTGGGATAAGTTGTAACATGTTACAACTTGCCCCAAGCGTATTGTTACAACATGCCCCGTAGTACAATTTTCTACATTTACTTACATTTCGACAAAATTATGTGGCTTAGCGTCAAAATGTATAAGGAATATTAAAGTTGAGTAATTTTTGAGCTACATGCAAAACTAAACGTTTTAAATTAATTAATAACTGATACGAAAAACCAAATTTTACTAAAGCAATATTTTACATTACTTGGCCAAAACGAAGCACGTGCACACATCCACTCACTGCGTTGGCTGAAGGAACAGTGGTTGTGATGACATGATGTCTTATGGTGCAAAAATTAAATTCAGTCAAAAACCTGACGTTAAAGAGTTTAAATTCTGGGAAAAAATTTAGTGTTACAACTTACCCCTGTTACAACAAGCCCCTCGTTCCCCTACTATAATTTTACCACAAATGTAACAAAACTGATTTGCACTTACTTTCCACGATCTCGAAGACATTTTTAATGCGACAATTGTGCATTAACATGAGTCAGTTTAACACAAACGTGAAGGTAAAGCAAAGTTCATTATTTTGGATTTATGAAAAAACCTGACGTGATAAGGATTATCCGTTTTTGGATTTGTTATCCGTAAGTAATTTAGAAGTAAAAATTTTTTTTTTATTTTTGGATACGAAAAAAAGTTTAAATTTGTAAACTAGTGTTATTTTTCTTAAATAAAGATTGATATTTATTAGAATAGTTAAACATCAAAATGATAAACTTCTTCTGAATTATGATTTTCTTTCTTTTGAGTGGGTTCGTGTGTTTAAAAATGAGGCGAATCGCAACAAATTGTAGTAGAAGAACAGACCGAAAAGGTGAGATATTTTGTTATTTAAATATCATATGTGTAATAATGTATTAAAGTCATTAAAAAAAAAGTAATATTTATTATAGTAGTTAAACATCAAAATGATAAACTTCTTTACTGAATTATATTTTTCTTTTTTTACAGTGGGTCTGTATCTTTGAAAATAAGGGAAATTGCCACAAATTTTAGTTGAGTTCGGAGTGCACGGTGTTCAGTCCCGAGTGCGCGACTAAAACACGTAGTGAAAAGTAGTGAAAAGTGGTGCTGAATAACTGGTAACTTAAGTGCTACAACTTTTTTCCTGTGCTGTATCAAGAAATGGCGGCTCGACTCCAACCTGAGAGACGATAATGCAACTGGTCAGGATTGAAAGGGTAAGAACCATGAACATAATTATGTTTTCTTTAAATTTTTAAGAAACGTTATCGTAATAATGTACAAAACGTATTTTAAATTAAAGATAATATTTATTAGAGTAGTTAAATATCAAGAAGACAAACTTTTACTGAATGATATTTTTCTTTATTTACAGTAGGTCCGTATCTTTGAAGATGAGGGGAATCGCTACAATTCGTAGCAGAAGAAGAAGCCAAAAAGGTCAGATTTTTTTTTCTAATTTGAATATTATTTGTGCGCGTCGTCAAGTTCCGAGTTTGCGCAACTAAAACGTGTAGTGAAAAGTGTTACTAATAGAACTTCGTTCCTGTGCCATATCATGAGTGACGTTTCAACTCGCAACCTGAGAGACGATAAAAGGGTAAAGGTACGTGTCCACTGGAGAGTGACTTGGCGAGAATTCGCGAGAGTTACTTTCAAGGGCTTGTCGATTTGAGAGGATATTTTGGCAAATTTTGCTCGCCGATAGATGTCGATCAGACAAAGCTCTCAAAACCCTGTCCACTACACAGTTGCACTTGCGAGGAAAATGGACCCTCTTTACTCGAACCGACAAAGAATTTATGATTTTACGAGCCTTTTGTTAATTTATTTTTCACGAAATACGGTAAAATATTGCAGCTGTGAAAACAGGTAGTAAGAGGACATAAATTATTATGTGGACCTAAAATTGTGCTAAGAAATACGCAAATGCACGATGCTATTTCTATTCATGAAAGAGTAATAGTAACATTACGATTTTTTTGTATCAGGTACATATGTAAAAGTATGATGTAAATCATTGAACAAAATAAGGTGTTCTCCATAGGTTATGTCACGTACATTTTGGGGTTTTTGGACCTTTCTTTTCTGTGTCACAGGTTGTCACATTCATATGATCCCACCCTCTATTATAATGTCATATAATTTTAATGTAGAGTTGATTTTGATTAAATCAACATTGCAATTATTACTCTTATTTAATATTACGTAAAATCTTCTTTCCACATATCTCTTAAAAATGTAAAAAATTGGTCGAAAGTTGTTTCGACAGAACTTCCCTCGCACCGAAAGAACTATGAAACATATCTAACATTTTCGAGTTGAAGTTCTAGCAAATTTGCTACCCTGTCCACTGCTCGGGTACACTAGCGAGAGAAACGAGCGATTTGTGCTGGACCGACAAATAATTTATGATTTTATGAGCTTTTTGTTAATCCTCTTTCAAGAAATTCAACTGAAATGTAAATGCTGGGAAAACAGGTAGCAAAAAAGGTATAGGTAAATTGTCTCCCGGGTTAGATTGGTAAGAGCGCTTAATACGACCCGCACCTGAAGATTATCATCCCGGCAGGTTATGATTCATCAAAGGACAATTACATGCAATGTTGTAGTGTGTAAAAACATCTATAAAATTATTGTCCCTAATAATTATATTTTCAGGTGAGGCAGGTATCAATTTATAAAAGCACTTGTGGATAAACACCGAAAATAAAAATAAATATTAATTTTTGAATACTCATGCTACTTAACAATACATTTGTAGTACCTAATATGTAAATTATTATTAAAAATTCATTTAAAAACGTTATTTGAATAATAAAAAATGAATTTACTTCGTTGTGCATAGTTTAATCTCGTACTACAACAAAATAATAATAATAATAATGAAGTATAATCAGAATCACTTATACAAACTATGATGTTTAATTATAAATTAAAAAAGTTAATCTAGTCTACTTTTCACATTACTTGCTTCAGATTTGCGACAAATGAACATAATTTAGTCATTTATTTTCGTTTTACATTTTTTTTAGTATTTAATAATTTCATAAAAATGTGTTACCTATCTCAAAACGCTGTATAAATGTTGAAGTCAGGTAAACGATCAGATTTGGCCGAATTGCGTAGTCCTTTTCACGACTGTTTGCATAGAATCATAAACGTGTAAAATAAGTCGGCTTTACTCGAGAAATAATTTATGATGAACTGCTTACTCTCGGGGAATACTTCCCCAATTCGAAGCTTGTTCACACGGACAGTATCTCTCGCAAGTAAACGCAGTTTGGCTTGTCCACTGGAGAGAATATAGTTCGCGGCGAGATCAGCCGATCAGTGTTTCGTCTTTACTCGACTGGACTCGGAGCTCTCCAGGGCTGATTTTGAGGCGATTTCTCGCAAGTGGACACTTACCTTAAGAACCATATGTATAATTACTTTTCTTTGTAATTTTTAAGTGACGCTTTGTACTGGACACGCGTTTGTAATAATGTATTAAACATATTTTCTTTTTTTACAGTAGGTACGTATTGAAAATGAGGGGGACCGCTACAAATTGTAGCGGAAGCCGAAAAGGTCAGATTCTGACAACTGAATACAATAGAATTACAGCCGGCAGAGAATTCATGGGGACCACTTGGTCTGTTTAGCCAATAGGCGACACCTACGCCCCCCACCAAGTACCAAAATAACAATATATCATTAATTTAACACTTTTTAAACCTAATAGAGGTACCTATATTATTGACAGTAACAGTGACAACTTCTCTTTTTATTTTATGAGCCACTTCAGACACAATAATTTCGACTTTTAGTATTTACTTTCGTGTCAAAAATGTAGTTTTAGACAGTACCACCTTAGTCATTAACTTAGTTTTACAAACATTCGTTCAAGTTTTTTTACAAACACTCACTTCAGGAGTTTCTCAAATATCCAATTCATTATGTTTAATTTTAAGTTTGCTTGGAAAAAAAATAAACTCTTCTCTTAACTCGTAACTGGAAAATCGAGCGAACGTTGAAAATAAAAATAGTTTCATTGACAAGTGGTATAGTTAGTATTTCTGAATAAAATCCTATACTATGCGCAACCGTAGTAACCACAAATATAGTACATGCAGCCATGTTTTAATTCAAAACCGCCAAAAAATGTTGATAATAATACACCTGACGTTTCTTGTAAATATTTGTATTCTGTGAACCACCGCTGTACAAAACCAAACTCATCACCTATTGATTATAATCATAGACCTATGTAGGAACAAAACACAAACGTTAAAAATAAAGTTAAAACCAATATCAAAATCCCTACGAAGGCCGGCATAGTTCCTGAAACATAAATAAAAATGAACAAATAAAACTACAAAAAACAAAACGTACTCACGTCTGTACGGCAAGGTGTGTATACAAACGTGATTATCTACAGAAATTGACAGCACAGCCGCCTCTGCTACACTGGTAACAGTGTGATTTTCAGACACTGGTAAGAATTCCAGCCCAGTGACAAACATGGAATGTGCTCCGGGTATAGTCAATACCCTCTGTAAAACAATAAATCAAACCCATTCAAACAATAACAACAATAATCCTCACTTGTAGACTAAAAGCTATATAAATTAACACCGATCCGCTAAACATGGTGCCAACCGCCACAAATCTCCCATCGTTCCTCACCGCCAAAGCCGCAAGACTCTCGTCGATTTCCGCCGACTTCTTGATAACCCCCTCATCGGGTAGCCACTGCTGCAAGTACGACTTTTGTTTTTTCGGTAGACCTGTCGGGTTCGCCAGCATGTACAACGCGGACTTTCTGTCTTCGCCTTCTATTACTCCGAACCTATTAACACACTTGTTTATTTCTCGCAACATGAATGAAAAAACACCAACCGAGCGCGTTTGTACAAATATTTGGAACCCTCCGGCTGCGTCCACGTCAGTCTTCGAATTTCCTTGCCTTTGGAGCAATCCCAGAGAACCGCAATGCCGTCTTTCGCAATTGAAATTAAATAGTTCTCGTAAACGCTAAAATCTAAATCGTCGATCTCTTTTGAGTGTGCTTTGAGCACGTGGGCGGGCTGAAGACTGGGAAACTTCCACAGCCTGACGACGCCGTCGGTTCCTCCTACAATAGGTTCAGTTTCGTCTCATTTAAAATTGTTGTTCAATAATTCCAAAATTTATTCTTCAATCCAACTACGTCTATGCAATCTCTCAAAAAAATTGATGACGTCATATGAATAATTGTCAAGTAAATACCTATACGACTTAGTTAAATCGTTTTATCGAACCAAGCGATATTAAGTTCAAATATAAGTTTGGACGGTTAAAATATACACATTACACAGCAACCTCGTCGAAAGTTTGTTGTCATTAACGATGATCGACTAATTCCAAATTATTAACAAAAATGTTTATTCCTTCCCTAAATCTGATGACCTTATCGTAGACACAATAAACAAAATAGTTTACATTCAACTGACAGGTTTAACACACACACCACATCTCTACCCAAAAACCTGCCGCATATTATACGCTTTACCCCGCCTTCAAAAATTAAGCATCTGTTTGGGCCAAACTATGCGTTTCATGCGAACGCAGGTCTCCCCGTAGTTTTCAATTTTACATCTGTTAGAAAAAAAATCTTTAATTTTAATACAACTCAAATCCTATATTTGTCTAATTTATAACGATAACTGAATGATTATTAGAATTACAAGAAATGAAGCAAGCAACATTTAATTATGCACATTTAAATACGGTCGATCAAAGTAACAATTCGAGAATAAATGTTCAAATTCAAGCTGTGAGGAATTATGGACTGTGTCATATAATAACTTAAATAAAAACACCCAGAATGTTTAAATATATCGTTAATTAAAATTGCACCTGTTAATGGAATAGTCAAAGTTTTACACATTTCAGGTCAGAAAATTATTAATAAACTGATATTGCACTAATTACACTTGAAAGAGGACCGTGGTGTCGAATGCCATTAATTCTTCAGAGCCTAAGAAGTCATCAAGTTTATTCGTCATTTTCTAATCACCCTGTATAAATGAAATCGGACTACCAGTATTCTAACCTTGCTTTATGACTACGTTACATAATTCCTATACATTATTATAATTAATATATCTGGATATATTTCATAAAATTAAAACTTATAGTTATGCAACACAATATACACGAATGCCAACTGTAATTTTTGATACTTGTAATTTTAAATTATTTTCATTCATCATTTCAGATATAAATCAATAACGATTAACCTTTTGTAAGTTCAATATAGAAAAACGAATTTTTGTGGGTATACTAAAAAAACATAACTTTCCCAGATTTATGGTATGTTGATTATGATAATTAGTTTTCAAATTATTTAAAAAATTCTATCATAATCAATTCTAAAAATATAAACACATTGAGAAACAACAAGTGTTGAGTTATAATATTTTAATGTTTAACGATCTACACGAAATTCCTGAAATACTTAGTCTAGTTACGTCTGTTGATGGAATTGTCAGAGTTTTACACATTTCAGATCAGAAAATCATTAATAAACTGGCATTACACTCGTTGAAGGGGGACCATGGTGTCGAATGCGATTAACTAATTATTTAACATTACATTCAAAATAGTTGTATAAATTATTACTATTATTATTATTATTATTAATTATATTATTGTAACAGGTTACTATCAAGATATTGAACAACTTTCAATTAATTTTCAAACACATTTATAAGTGCAAAAAATAAATGAATAGAATTCATTCTAAAATATTTTTTCAAAGCAGTTAATATGATCCCAAAATGTATTTGTAGACCATGCAATGTTTTGCAATATTTACGTTCTTTGGTGTTCATTATTCAATTGTTCCACTATGTAAACATAAATTATAATTTACTGTTTTCTGCGTCGACTATAATTAACTTTAACCTTGGATTAACACACATCATTCTTCAGTAATCAACATCCAAAAGCACGAATATTCACTGACCTGTGACTAAAATTTTCCCAGTAGGATGAATCCGAGACACTCTCAACAACGGCTCCTCCCCCTGAAAATCCGTCTGAACACTATCTGACGGCTTTATTACAAACTTCAACCTCTTAGAGTTCCTATTATTGTCCGTTTTCTGTTTATTTTTGGCCTTTCGTTGCTTAACTTCATTGGCATGATTGTGCCCTATCGTTTCAATCTCATCCTCCTCAGTGACTAGAACGCTTCCAACATTGTACAACTGCAAGTGACTCTCTTGCCCCACCACCAAATAAGAATGTTTATTATCACAATGGGTCGAGCAATTCATAACCACACTCGGTCCAGTTTCATGTCTTGTGATTTCTTCAGCTACAAATTTTGTGCCGTCGTGAGCTAACTCGAATATTTCCTTAAATGTTTGTGTTATGGCTTTGGTTTTTAGTTGTGGGTTTACTTACAAAGCCGTTTGCCACTCCAGTTTTTGAAGAGCCTCCACCTCCGCCGACGATTACGTGCCGATTTGTCAACATTTGGACCGTATAAAGAGGGAAATTTAATCGGGCGAGGATGTTGTCGATGTATTTACGTGGTGGTGCCATTGTTATTGAGGGTTTGTGTGATTTTTGTTCAATATTTTTTAAAGTTCCACGTAGATAACCTCCAAAAACATAAACACTTTGGAATGTCAAATTTGAATGAAAGAGGGGGTATTTATGACAGAGAGTGACAGAAAGTTTTCGCTTGAGAGAATAGGTGGCAGCAGTGTTTCAGATTTCATAGAACTCTAAGATTTTCATTACTTTTTAAGGTGTGGCCACAGTATAAAAAAAAATGGTAGCATAACTAATGTATCAAACAAAATAAGGTACCATCATGACAACACAAAACATTATTGTCTCTTAAAAAAGTTACATTTTGTAATTTGTGGTATACCTACACGAAAATAAAGGATAGATATAGGCGTCTATACCGTTTGTCGAAGTATTTCCAACAACGAAAATTTGACTGCAAAAGGAAACCTACTCTTTAAAATATTTACACACAATTATAATAACACTAGTTTACAAGGTTTTATATCCATAGACAAAATAGTGAATCTAAAGGATTCACGTTAGGTTTTTGAGATATTTATATAAACGTATCAGGTATTTCTTTTCTTTTATACATCTCTTGTAACTTTTTTATTTTTAAATATATATGAACATATAGTTCTTTGAGCAAATTTGTATCATTTTAAAAGATCATTTACGTAAATAAATAACATGAGTGTCGATTTTTCAAGCTACTAGATTGTCATCAATGTTTTATTTAAAATTTTTCAAGTATTTATTTTAGAATAATTGGTTGTTTTTGATTTTTCTACGGGAAGTGATAAAAAAAAATGTGAGGTTCGCCTCACAAAGATGTTTTAAAATGATACAAATTTGCTCAAAGAAATACAGGTTTATCTTTAAGAATAAAGAAGTTACAGAGGTTGTATCAAATAAAAGCAACACCCAGTATATATTATAAACATTATGACTGAAAATTAAAAATGATTAACACTAGCGTTTCTTTTATTGACAGTACTGTCAGTTTCCCTTATAACAGACCAATAGTAACACATTTTCGTCCAAAAAACCTTGATACCTTCTTTTTAAGCATATTTGCACAGGTCTTCCCGCTTTAGGTACTATAATTTTACTACAAACGTAATAAAACTGATTTGCACTTACTTTGCACGATCTCGAAGACATTTTTTATGCGACAATGGTGCATTAATATGAATCAGTTTAACACTAACGTGAAAGTAAAAGTAAAGTTCATTATTTTGGATTTATGAAAAAACCTGACGTGATAAGGATTATCCGTTTTTGGATTTGTTATCAGTAAGTAATTTAGAAGTAAACAATATTTTTTTTATTTTTGGATACGAAAAAAAGTTTAAATTTGTAAACTAGTGTAATTTGTGTCTAAGTAGATAAATTATTGCAAAAGAAAAGCAGAAAATAATTTCAGTGTTAAAATTCAACTTTTTCACTAAATAGATCTATACTATAAACTCAATTGACACACACCTTGTAAAACTTTCATTATGGCAACAATGGACAGTAATAATCCTGGCGGTTCGGGTCCACAAAGCTTACAATAGCCAGTTTGACTTATAAGGGTGGTTTGGCTTAAACCGCTTAAATCATAAAAGTTTTACAAGGTGTATGTCAGGTGAGTTTACTGTCCTGATTTTCGTGATGGAACCTATAGTCTTTGCCATTTCTATTGAAACACCACTTGTTAATCACAAATTTGGCAACCTTCATATTCAGGCAATTTTCTAACTAAAAGCCGTTGTCAATCAATCGAAAGCTGTTACCAATTGCTAAATTTTAAGCAAAATCAACAGGTGGTGTTTCAATCGAAATGGCAAAGACAATAGACTGAAGCGAAAATCAATGCAAATATTGTTAGGTCTGTGAATTTTGATTGTAAATAGTAATAAGTAAAATTAAGTAATGGAGAAGTCTACTAAATATCTGCAGCTAAAGTCAACAAAATAACACATATTTCTATCCTTTACTGAAAGTTAATGTTTGACAGTAGGTATAGTTTTGGAAATTTCATTTTACCCTATAAAATTTTATTGACGATAACGAGACAGATAACAGTACAATAGCAAGAGATATTTACAATTTAAAGTTGTCGCGTGCCGGTGATCCCCAGATGTTAGAAAACACAATAATGCAAGTCCGGACAGGGCCCATCGTTACACATTGTACTACTGTCCGTCTCGTTATTGTCAATAAAATTTTATACGGTAGAACGAAATTTCCAAAACTATAACAGATCTTCGCTGAAGTTTCAATCGTCCTTAAATATCAGTTTTGAAGCAGTGAAATCGCCAACCATACATTGTTTTAGACATTCCTGACTAAACTAATTGAGAAAAAAGTGTGTTCGGTTTAACGTTTGTTCGGATCAGCGATTTTTCCAAAAATCTGAAAGGGAATTGAATAACAACTTCATACATGGTTGAAAACAAACTTCAAGAAATAAATCTTAATTTTATTAAACAAAATTAAAGAATTCTTAAGCAACAATGGATAATAGATACATTCTTTCGAAAATATTACTCCGTGACCATAAACATGCTATCTTTTTGGAATGAACACGCTGGGATCTATACCCTGAATTTTTTCAGAATTTTTAGATGAATTTTTCAAAAATGAAATTTTCCATTTTGTTTACCTCCATTATGCAAATTTCGACCCATTCTCGACGATTTTCGAAATTTAACTAAATACATTTTCTTGTAGATTTTGAGCCTCAGAAGTCACTTCTGGCTTTATTTCTTCGATAACTTAAACCATTTTTCCAGATTCGTCGAGTTGAAATATTGCAATTTTTAAAAATTTCGAAAAATTCGAATTTTCCGAAAATATTGCTCGGTTACCATTAACATGCTATATTTTTGGAATCAGCACGTCGGGATATACATATATCCCTGAATTTTTTAGAATTGTTGGGAAACTTTTTCAAAAATGAAATTTTCCTTTTGCAAATTTCGACCCATTTTCGACGATTTTCGAAATTTAACTAAATACTTTTTCTTGTAGATTTCGAGCCTCATTTCTTCGATAACTTCAGCCTTTTTTCCAGAATCAGTTAATTAATTCAGTGCATTAAAATATCGCAATTTTTAAAAATTTCAAAATATTCCATAGAACATATGCAAAAAGATCTTGCGTCATTTTTGCAAATAAGTGCGTGTTTCCAAGTTCAGTTCGGATTGCAGAGTTTTTGTTCGGATTAAAGAAGCATCGACTTCAAATAGCCTCTGTTTGGATTACTGGTTGTCCGGATAACCATGAATTCGGATTATAGAGATGTACTGTATTTACAAAATGAAATGCGATTTCAAAATTTTGAAATTGGTCAAAATAAAGTAGGTACCTCGATAGTGTCAGGGGGGATCCGCTCCTGGCTTCGATCCACCCTGAACGCCTTTACGTACTCTATCTGTATTGTATCCGCTTGTGACTCCGCTCCGCATCTGTTTAAACGTCTCTCCCCACATCCGTTTTTGCGTCTGTTTCTCTTCGTGTCTATTTCCGCGTCTGTCTGTCTGTCTGTCTATCTCCGCGTCTGTCTGTCTGTGCTTCTGTCTGTCTCCGAGTCCGTTTGTCTCAGCGGGTGTCTCTCTTCCCACCACCATATCTGTTTCCGCGTCTGTCTCCACATTTGTTTCCACCTGTCTCCATGTCTGTCTCTCTTCGTGTCTCTTTCCGTCTCTGTCTCTGCGTCTGTCTGTGTTTCTGCGTCTGTTTGTGTCTCTGCGTCTGTTTCCGCGGCTGTCTCTCTTCGCATCCGTTTCCGCGTCTATGTCTCTTCGTGTCTGTCTCTAAGTCTGTCTGTGTCTCTGCGTCTGTCTTTGTCTCTGCGTTTGTTTTTGTCTCTGCGTCTATCTGTGTCTCTAGATCTGTCTGCCTCCGCGTCTTATTATCACTCTTCGTGTCTATTTACGCGTCAGTTGTGCCTCTGCGTCTGTCTGGCTCCGCGGCTATCTCTCTTCGCACCTGTCTCTCCGTCTATCACCGCGTCTGTCTCTCTTCGTGCCTGTTTCTGCGTCTGTCTGTGTCTCTGCATCTGTTTATCTCCTCGGTTGTCTCTTTTTCTTTCCTCATCTGTCTGCCTCGCGTCTGTCTGCCTCCGTATTTGTTTCCGCGTGTGTCTCCGCGACTACCTCTCTTCGTGTTTATTTCCACGTCTATCTCAGCGTCTTTCTGTCTCCTCGTCTGCTGTTTGTTTCTGTTTGTGTCTGTTTCCGCGCCTATCTCTCTTCGTGTTTATTTCTGCATCTGTCTGTCTCCGCTGCTGTCTCTCTTCGTGTCTGCCTCCGCGGCTGTCTCTCTTCGCACCTGTTTTCCCGTATGTCTCCGCGACTGTCTCTCTTCTTCTTTGTTTCCGCGTTTCTCTGCGTCTGTTTGTGTCTCTGCGTACGTTTGTCTCCTGGGCTGTCTCTTTATCTTCGCATCTTTCCGCAGCTGACTGTTTCCGTATCTGTCTTTGTCTCTGCGTTTGTCTATGTCTCTACGTCTGTCTGCCTCCGCGTCTGTCTCTCATCGTGTCTGTTTCTGCGTTTGTCTGTGTCTCTGAGTCTGTCTGTCTTCGCGTGTGTCTAGTTCTGCGCCTGCCTGTTTCCGCGTCTGTCTCTGAGTCTGTAGGTATGTGTCTCTGCGTCTGTTTGTCTCCTCGGCGCTCTCTCTCTCTCTCTTCGTCTACCTCGCGTATGTCTGCCTTCGTGTCTGTCTGTCTCCGCATCTGCCTGTTTCCGCGTCTATAATATCTCCCTTCGTGTTTATTTCCACGTCTGTCTGCGTTTCTGCATCTGTCTGTCTCTCATTAGTGTCTATTTCGGCGCCTATCTGTGTCTCTGCGTCTGCCACTGCAGCTGTCTGTCTCCGTGTGTATCTATCTCTACGCGTATCCGTGTCTTCGTTTGTCTCCGGGTCTGTATCTCTTCGTGTCTGTTTCTGCGTCTGTCTGCGACTCTGTGCCTGTCTCTGTGTGTGCGTCTGTCTGTGTCTCTGCGTCTGTCTGTCTCCGCATCTGTCTATCTCTGCGTGTATCCGTCTCTGGGTTTGTCTCCGCGTTAGCTTGTAACGATGCGCTCTCGTCCGGCCCCTCTTCTTCCAGCCGGCTACGACGGAGTGTGTTCTAGCCTTCCCTCTACCTTTCCGCCCTCCAGGCATTAACCGGAGGACTTCCCGAGATCCCACAGGCATCAACCGGAGGATACTCCGTTCCACCCTTCAGGCATTAACCGGAAGGCTTCCTGACCTACCGTCCCCCAAGCATCAACCGGGGGATATTCCGTTCCACTTTCAGGCATCAACTGGAGGATTACCGTTCAGACCTACCATCTCCCAGGTATCAACCGGGGGATATACCGTTCCGCCTCCAGACATCAACCGGAGGATTACTGTTCCGACCGACGATCCCCCAAGCATCAACCGGGGGATATTCCGTTCTGCTTCCAAGCATTAACCGGAGGATTACCGACTCAACCTGGCGCCGCTCGGCATTAACTACCGCGCTTCGTTTATACCTAGATTGCATGCTTGAGTTGCTTAGGATTGTATGTGCTGTGTGTTAAATAAATATTGTCATATCAATAGCGTTTTCTTCGAAGTCCTGGAAGTTATCGTCTTCGACCGATTATCCCCGCACCAAAAAGGGAAAAAACCCGTTACAAGTTTCTGCGCTTGTTTCCGTGTCTGTCTGTCTACGCGTTTGTTTCCGCATCTATCTTCCCGTCTGTCTGTTTCCAAGTACGTCTCCACGTCTGTTGCCGCCTGTGTCTGTCTCTCTTCGCATATTTTCGTGTCTGTTTCCGCGTAACATTTTATCCCACGTTAACAAACCCCACCGTATCCTTCTCTGGCAAGACATGCTTCAGACCTTCTCGTGGTTCTTACAGAGTGTAACGCAGAAACCACAAAATTCTAAGCCATTCATTGAATTGCATTCGTTGATGGCCAACGTGGAGCAATACAAAAATATGAACATATTTATACCTTAACTCAATGATTTATTACTACATACGCCGCCCCAGTGACGCTTATGGGTTTTCTAGTACCTATGTATGTACAGCGACCAGCGATGGTGACTCATCATCAGTGACGGCTCGTGCCAAAAAAACGTGGGTCGGCCAAACATGAGGATAACTCTAATTAGTAAACGTTTTTTAGTTAATAAAATGTCTGTCATTCGTTAAATCAGTTTTACGCCGATTCGCAGATGGAGGAGCTATATCAGCAATCTTAAAGTAGCAATCTCTTCAACATCAGAATATATCTTTGAAAATAATGATCTTCATTTCGAATTCTTTTTAAAAATTTTGCTAACTCCTTAAACTTGACTTGATTATCCGAACCACTTGTTCCGTCGTTACCTCGAAATGCCATTTCTTGTGTTGATAGAAAAATAATCATATTTATTAAATGTTTTACCATAATTCTGTTTTCTCGAACAGTTTCATTGTATTTATTTATATATGTATTCGTGTCTGGCATTATCCAACGAATTCGCGATATTGTGTTTTCCGAACAATTTCAATTTTAGAGTCAAATGAATATGCTCCTTAGAAATTTTGCGTTTGGCCAGTGCACGATGAACTTCTTTTAAATTGTCATAACCACTAGAATTATAAGGGTTCTTGGATTCTGAAAATAATAAACAATACCAGCTAAATAATTTGTTACGTGCTTCGCTGCCAGCTAACGAAGGATATTTACAGTAGAGTGTTTTAGAAAATGCTCGATTATGACCAGGCTTCGTTTGAATCAAATTGATCATTAACGTTGCTTCACAAAAACTTTATGGTCGTAAGTTAATTCTTTAAATTTATGTATTAATAAATAATTAACCAAGTCGCCATTCAAGTCAACTATATTGCGAAATGTGTCCATCGTGAGTTTTTATACAAATTAAAATAAATATATTTAATTATTTACCAATTCAATAAAGCGCTTCGTGCAACGTGCAACCAACACTGGTCAAAAATATTCATCGTTCGTTCATCTTCGGTTTACTAATCGTCCAAGTACGTTGGATTCCTACAACCGAGCCGGCCGGCCGACCGCGGGTGGAAACTATACGGGAATTCGCGGACTATTTTATGTAAAATATTTTTTATTACAGGAGATGAATACAATTTCAACACTCTACAGTTAGGAATTAAGATAAATGTGATCAACTGATTGATAAAAAGATTGCAGTATTGTTTGAATCATCCAATTTTACCCAACTAAATTAAATTATTAACGACTTTCTTAAATTTTGAAACTTTATGCTTGACATGCATAATTCTTTAATCAGTTTTTAATAATTTATAATTCGCAATCCTGTATTTACATTAAGGTATTAATTAAGGATAATGAAAAACTGTAAATATGGAAATCAATAAAATAAAAGAGCGATAAGTAGAAACGAGCGCGCCGCATCCACGGTGTCGTCTGCGTCTGCGGCAAAATCGGCCAGAGCGCTATCGGCCGATGTTGTGTGTTTCAATCTACGCCAGAATTGTAAGTTAAGGCTCGCGTCTGGTTCGGTTTCGCCCTATACTAAATACATTGAAAACATCGTCGTGGTTTCCGGAGTTGCATTTTAAAAATACGGGATATATCGCTTTAAAAAAATTATATTTCGAATTAACAAACTTGAGTCCAGGGGACCTCCATATTTATATTCATATCTAGTCCTCAGTTTTTACAAAAAAAAATTATAAATTTGACCAATTTTTACACCAGATTTAACCGGTACATTGATGCATTTTTTGAAGAAGTGCTGAAGTGATTTGCATTCTGAGATAGGAGGTCCCCTGGGGAAAAGTGTCAGCTTTCTTTTGATACCATTTATAATCCTAAAAAATTCACGACTGAGGTAAATAACTCTCGAAAAGACAGAATCTGTTGAAACGAGAAATCGCCATTAAACGAGCTATGATGCCGTAGCAGAATACAGGTTTACTTAGATTCTGGTTTGGTTGCAGACTTAATTTAATGTGGACCTTGTCCACCAGGGGGAGCTGTTTTTACTCAGCGATTTATCGGAATAAAATTTTGATATCGCATTTCCGATTTTACAATACCATTTCGGTTTTTAGAAGTGACAAAATAACGTATCCATCTTTTTTACTAAAACAGTAAAAAAGATGGATACGTTAAAAGTTAGTTATTAAGTATGTTTTATTTAAGAGATCAAAAGGTATTTACAATCCTCCGCAGCTGAGGCACATATAAATCTGTTTTATATTAATTATTTTTTATCCTCTATGAAAAAATAAAATTGAAACGTGTTTTATTATATATACTCTGAAACGTCATTGAGTTGTTGGTGAAGATGAAAGAAGTAAAACAATGTCAAAGTTTTGTAATCATAATCAACTTACGCCGATATACATAGGTATGATTAAAAAGAGATGAATTGATGGCAGGTAGAAAAGCATATTATCTTCTGTAGGACAGTAACAGAACAAATCGGGTTAGCGACTTTCTATCCAGACTGTAATACTCAGTATAATTTCACAGCACACACTTGTCAAACCGAACCCATGCAATATTAATATTTGTAAATGCTGCTTATTTTAATTATATATTACTAATCCCTTAAAAAAAATGGGGCATACAGACAACCAACAAAATTTAAACATTTCAAATTTTTTGACCTCCTGTTCAGTATTATTTCAGGAGCCAAACAGCAGCGATAGAATTTTTCTAATTTTGGAAACATAATTTCTGTCCATATTTTTCGATCTCTAAATATTGTTTCTATATGGAGGTTATTCTGATCTCCACTATAAACCACAAAGTAGCAAATCTCCTTTTCACAAATTTCCAGTTGACCTTGAATCTAAAAATGTTGTAGTTTGAATTATGACGGGAAAAGGATTAATGTTTCACAGCTTATAACATACTTGATAAAAGTATTGATGATTTCGTTTAAGTTGGATCTTTTTATTTCAATTCAATAAACTTATGTGTTTTTTTACTGTTTGTACAATTTTTTGTACTAATTGCACGTTTTGTTTTTTTTTTGCGTAGATAAAATTTGTCACGAGCCATTATTATAAAATAAGGTGTAACAACAAAAATATAGTGCAAATAATTTGTAAGTGGACGACCGAAACTATGTTTTAGGCAGACACTGACAAAGTCGTAACATTGGCAACTGTTCCAAAACTGAGTTTTGCCGAAAAAGGTACTTTACGTGCATTTCAAACAATTACATTCATAGGACTCTACCATTTCTACCAGCCAGATGTAAACAACCACCTACAATAAATTTAACAACTTTTGTTTGTCACCGGAAGTGGGACTGGTATTGCGGACTGAAATTATCCCTTGTACACGCTTTCGACTCCATTTGAGTACCAATTTTTTTCGGAATTTAAAATTACGTTCAAGCTGTTGTTCAAGCCTAAAATTTAAAATTAAATCTTTCCGAAACAGTATGACAAATATGTAGTGAACAAAAAATATTTACACCTTATACAAAAAAATGAGGTTTACGATGCGCAAGCATATGATATACGTAAAATTAAAAGTGCAAGTCAAAGTTAATATGCATAAAAAATAGCAGCTGCTTCTATTAAAAATTTAAAATTAATTATTTAAATCCTTACAAAACGATATACTAACAAACAGTTTAAGCAAAGTCAAATTTTTAAATAAACTGCCTTCTGCCATGCAGTTAGCCGCCAAAATAATTAACATGAATATTTTAGTACTTACATAAAAAACCACCGTTGAATGCTTAGAATTACTTGCATACAACGTACTAATGATTTGCGTTGAAGAAAGTAAAAAATTTTGTTATGTGGCTAATAGCTTCAAGGACACGTTATTATTCATTTTCAAACGATTGCGGCTAATAATTTTAACAATTTATTGTTATTTACTTGGTAAATATATTTTTATTTTTATTACTATTGTTTTGTTGCAAACGATAAAGTAAATAACAAAACCAAACTCTTATACATTATTAAGTTTAAGAAAAATTTTCCGCCAAAAATATTATATTTGTAATGAATGGGCATGTCCGACAGTGCAGATAGTAGGAAAATAATAAAAATATTTTCTTATACCGGAAATATTGTTAATTCTCTTATTTCAAGTTTAGCCTACAAATGTGGAAAATCCCTCCCGTTCGTAAATAGTACCTTGGCGCGACCAATTTTTGCTTTACATGATGTTCCTGTAATTCAGACAAACAACACATCCTT